TATTAAAAAGTTTAAATGATTCAAGTAATCCAGGAAAAGCCTTTTTTGATGAGGTTGGTAGTTGTCATTTAAAACAAAATAAACAATTCTACAATTATATAATACTAATCAATTTTATTTAATTACAGGCAGTGAATTATTGTAAAATTAAAGCAACACTGATTGTTCAATGTTATGGTATAACCAAATTCCCGGATAATGGAAATTATGCAATTGTTTTACCTTATGCTTCAGAAGGAAATTTAAGGGATTATTTACAAAAAAGTCATTTAACATTAAAAGACAAAATTACAATATTTCATTATTTATGCAGATCATTAGATTATATACATCAGAAAGATTTAATTCATAGTGATTTACATAGTGGTAATATACTTGTGCAAGGAGGTAAATGTTATATTACAGACTTGGGGTTATGTGGACCAGTTGATGAGAAGTCATCAAATAAAGTCTATGGAATTGTATCATATGTTGCACCTGAATTATTTAATGGTGAAAGGAACACAAAAGAAACAGATATCTATAGCGTTGGGATGTTAATGTGGGAAATATTTGCAGGTCACCCACCATTTGATGATAGAGCTCACAATCATCACTTAATGTTTAATATATGTGCAGGTTTACGACCACCAATATTATCAGGAATGCCTGACAACTATGTGCAAATGATGCAGAAGTGCTGGGATGTGGATTCATCAAAAAGGCCAAATATTGGAGAGCTTTTTGTGTTTGCTGATGAAAAGTTAAAAGAAATTCTTAATAATAATAGTGATATCAGTAGTGGTGGTGGTGGTGGTGGTGGTGGTGGTGGTATTAGTAGTAGTGGTAATATTATTAGTAGTAGTGGTAATAATAGTGGTAATAGTAGTAATAATATTACTAGTAGTAGTAATGATTCACAACAAGTACACGAATCACATCCAGGTGCATATCATACGAGTAGAATCTTAGATGAAGATATTGCTAAATATAAAATCTTAAAAAGTTATACAAGTAATAAAAATAATTTTGATTTTAACAAAGGTGAATAAAAATTAATTTCATTATTAATTAACTGGAATTAATATCAATTACTAACAATATTTTTTAATTAATTAGATTTTGGTAATAATAGCAAAAGAAGAAAGATTGATGAATGATTAATTTAATTTCCACTATAAATTTATTCATTTCTTTTTATTTTATCCTTATTTGTTTCTTAAAGCTAAATGATAATAATATTTTGAAATGATAAACTTTTGATTTGTGATATTAATGATTGCAGTGTAACTTTTGGGCTACTCTTGTCAGTTAATTGCAAGCAACTCACAATAAATCTTGTGCTTGTCAATTAATTAGTTTACGAGTTTACTTTGGTTCCCGCCTCTTTCTTGCACCTGAATAAATATGGCTCTTTTACAAAGCTATAAAGTTCCTTTTATTCACTCGTTGTTCATATTTATCGGCTGACTGCAAACTCGCTTTGTTTATTTACAAAACAACTTAAATAACTTGTTCAACAGCCTCACATTTACGATTACAATAATAATAATACTACCAATATTTCCGATTAACCTTTAGACAATACTTCATTAACATTCAATAGTTAACTAACGTTAGTCCTAACCTTGCTTGCTCACTAAAGCAAATTACGTTGTTAACACTCACTAGTTAACCAGCGTTAATCCTCACCTTTATTGCTCACTAAAACAAATAAAACGTGGCTTCTTACCAAAGCTCCGCAATTGTTACCTTTTACTAACTTGTTCCTTTTATAAAAGCGCTTTAAACAAAGTAAATAAAGGCATTTTTATTTTTATTTTTAAAAGATTAATTTTATTTAATAAAAATAATGACAGAGGTTCTATTATATTTTCTTCCAAAGTTATTTCTTTTCCAAGCAAATTCCAGAAGTTATTCCCTATTCAAGTTAATTGCGAATGGGAAAATTAAAGGCCATAATTTGATAATAATTATAAAAAACTTTTCCGTAAAAGTTTCACTTGAATGTTGTATAAGGTCTACACTAAAATCAGCTGACCCTGGAACATAAAGTATTCACTCAATGATTTTATCTACTCCGATCATGTATCATGTTATATAAGAAATGCGAGTTTAGTAGTAAACAAGTGGGCGGGAACCGAATTTGTATTAAGCGAAAGAATAATTTAGCTTCTTGGGAACAACTGATGAGACAAGAAGAGAAAATATAAAAATATAAAATTGAAGAGAAGACCTTGGGATACTATATTTATATGCTTTTTTTGTGACTCCTATATTTTATTATTGGCCTTTGAAGCAATTTTACTTGCGTCATTTTTGACTTACGTCATTTTGACTTGATGACAGCGAATTTGACGTAATAGTTTTACAACTTGATAACATTTCGTCAAACAACATTAGTGCTAACACATAAAATTCGTCCTTTTCTAAAAATATCAGGACATTGATTATAAGTATGGCTGTAGTGGTTGTATGATATCATTTATTCATTGAATCTATGGCTGCTCATGGTGAGATTTGTCAAACGCAGCAGACTCAACTGGATGTGTTGTTTTTTTGATCGAAAAGCGGTTGTATTGGAAACTAGTAAATGGTTGTTGATGATAAATTGAATAGATTGATCAAAAATGGATTTATTAATTCATCCAACTTTATACGGTAAATACTTTACTTTGACAAACTGTCATTATTCATGAACGAGATATTCCAAAATTCTTGCTTAAACATTTGTTTGGGAGTTGTTTTGTTGGGGTTGTTTGTATTGAAGTTGTCGTCGTTATAAATATCTTTTTGCACCCTCAAAATGATATTTCCTTCTAATCACAAAGAAAAATAATCTTTAAAGGTAGATAGGTACGTAGTAGGAGTATTGAATATAAAAGTTTCACATCAGTAAATTTTTCTTGATGTGAATTTACATAATTATTACACTACTTACATAAATTTATGACGGGCACCATAATATTCTAAATAGTATATACTTTTATGCAAATATTACAACATTACATATTAAAACTTACAAGCTTAATAATACTATGGCAAGAAAAATTTCCTGATACAAGTAAAATAAATAAATAAAATCATTAATAATAAAATAAATCCATTTGTAATTCAACAACATCAACTACTACTAGAGCTTGCAAACAATCACTACTATTCAACTACTGTTGATTGAAGTTTTTGGAACATTATTATGTTCATTCTCTATTTCATGTGCTTTAGTACGTGAATAATATTTAATTAACCAATAAAAATCGATAAAAATCACATGACATATTCATACAATTTTGATGGTCATGAGAAATTTTACTTTCAAAATATTATTATCGAATATGCCACAAACAAGAAGTAAAACAACCAAAGCAATAATATCATCGGAATCAATTTCTTCTAACCAAAATTTTTCTTCTGCTCCAGTAAAAGAAACTACAAGTATAACTTCCAAATATTTTAGTAATAGCAGCAGTAGTATCACTGCTAAAACAAAAGTAACAGAAGAGGAGGAGGGTGAAGAGGAGGAAAAGAAGTTATCACCATCAAAAGTAATAAAAAGTCAATTAACCGAAAAAAGAACGCGTAAACATGTCACTATAGAAATTGATAATAATAATGTTGATGATCCTTCTGCGATAACATCATCACCCAAGAAAAAGAGAAATGTTGATGGTAATAAACTTTTTTCTATAGTCAATAATCCGCCTTTGAATTGGGAGACTGTATATTCATCCATCAAAGAATATCGTAAAAACACCATGGCACCTGTTGATACAATGGGTTGTAATAAACTGGCAGATGGTCCAAATGAAAAAATCACACCTCAAGTATTTACTAAATTATCCTGTGATAATAGTAATCTATTATTTATCGATAATGGTTAATATGGATTATTTATTATTGTTTAGACTTCAAGATTTCAATCTTTAATAGCATTAATGCTCTCCTCACAAACAAAAGATTTAATCACCTCTTCAACAATGCAATATCTTAAAAAAAATCTTCCAGGCGGATTAACAATAGATAGTATTTTAAAAGTTGATGAAAAGTTTTTAGATGAGTGCATCTCAAAAGTAGGATTTCATAACAAGAAAGCTAAGTGGGTGAATTAAAAATAATAGCTTTCATCTGTTTCTTATTTTTATTATATGTATTTACCAAATAATACACACACACACACACACACGCATATATAATAGTTACATTAAACAAACTGCAAAAATTTGTAAAGAAAAATATGGAGGTGATATTCCTGATACAATTGAAGGTTTACTAGATTTACCTGGAGTTGGACCCAAGATGGTTTAAAAATATTCACAATTTATTACTCTTTTTTTATTATTATATAATTTTTTTTTATAAAAAAATTTTTTGTAATTAATAGGCATATCTTTGCATGCATACAGCATGGGATCAGTGAGTTTAACTATCATCATCATTTTATTTTTGAAGATGAATATTATTATTTATTATTATAATATTCTATTTGTTTATTGATGATGTTGTTAATAGAAATCAAGGTATAGGAGTCGATGTTCATGTTCATCGTATCTCAAACAGATTAGGTTGGAGTAATAGTGAGAAAGCTGGTCCTGAGGCTACTAGAAAATCATTGGAAACATGGCTTCCACACTCATTATGGCAAGAAATTAATTTATTGCTTGTCGGGTTTGGTCAAACTACTTGTTTACCAAGAAATCCAAAATGTTCAAAATGTCCTGTGAAAAATTTTTGTCCATCTGCAAACATTTAAGGTCACATATATATATATATATATATATATATACACACACACATCAATTTTGATTAATCTATATTTTATTATTGCTATTGTTATTATTTTAATGTTATCTAGCAATTAAGATTAATATTAATAATATAATAGTGAAATTCCTTATTTTTCAATCAACCAACCAACCAACCAATTATTATTTTATGTTCATTTATTTTTCAATAAAATAATTGAGATCTAACAATATTATTTGCATTAGATCTATCAATATCAATTAAGCACTTTGCTACTAAAACATAAAGAATTTGAAAATTCTGGTTATTGTTATTATTATTATTATTATTATTATTTGCTTGTTGTAATAAATAGTTTTCTTTTACAGCATTCATGATTTTTTCTTTAAGTTCCGCAAGTGATATTTCTCCTCCTGCATCGTGTATAATTTTTAATGCAAATGCTGCAAGAACTATTTGTTGTGATGGATTAGGTATTGATAAATAATCTTCTGATGATGATGATGATGAAGCAATACTATTTACTAAAATTTTATTAATCTCACTAAAAAATGTAAAATTTTTAATAGAATAAAGAATTATTATTATTATTATTATTATTATTATTATTATTATTATTATTATTATTATTATTATTATTATTTATTATTATTATCATCATCATCATCATTATGAATATAAACTTACTTGATAATATTAATATCAATATTTAACATTGATAAATGATGATGCTCATCCAGAAATTTCATCACTTCAAATTCCAATTGTCTGTGAGTATTTATTTCATCTGTCACAGAATCAATCTATATAATAACAATAATAATAATATAAATGTAAATATTGTATGTTTCTTTAGTAAAACACATATTAAATAAAATAAAATAGAAACCTTTTTAATATAATCATTTTTTATCTTTTCCAATTCAAGGATTTCTAATTCTTCTTTTTTAATCTCTTGCATGATTTTTTTATTATAAGAATTATTATCATTCACACTATTATCAGTTGTTTTATCATTATGATTATATCCATATTCATCAACATCAAATGGGTTTGTCATTTTTATTTGTTCTGCTATTTCATACCTTTCCATTCTTTTTTCTTGCTATATTAAAAAAATCATAATAAATATTAGGAATAATATAACAACAACAATAAAAATAATAAAGTTCACACATGCTTTTTTAATTATAGTTTCTAGACTATCTATTGATGAAGTTATATCTTCATATCTTTGTGCCAAAGATTTGATTGTATCATCAGCATGTGGAATATCACTAGGAAAAAATTTTATTTAAATTTCTTATTTATAAAAATATATATAAAATAAAATTAACAAAAACAATACCACAACATAAGCAATGAATTGGCTTCTCCAAGTAAATTATCAATTGTTTTAGGAGTAACTTTATCATGACATGAAATCTGATTTAATTCTTCACTAAAGTAATATTATATATATATATATTTATATTTATATAAGTTTATATAAATCCACACACACATGCATACACATGTATATTACAGAAGGTCTTCTTTACCTTTTAAAAGGTTCAATGGAAGAAGTTATTACTTGATAAAGTTTTGTTTCATGAGGTGTAGCTTCACGAACTATTTGTTTTCCTTTTTCAGGTCTTGAAAATAGTGTATTCACATATTCATCATTTCTTGAAAAATTTAATGAAGCTATTTTTGAAGTGGTCTGAACAATATTTTCTAAACTTTCTAAACCTTTAAATATCATTTTTTTTTTCTTCTCTCTCAAACATTAGATCGCGACTTTACACATGAAGATAAACAAACAATTATGTTACACGAATTCAATGTATGTAATACAAATATATCACGTAATCATTCTTACAATATAAAAAAGATGAAAAATTTTTTTGTGATAATCTTTTGACATTCAAAAAATAAATTTAGCATTACAACACCGAGATTCACTTTAAAGTACATTTTATAAGTTTATCTCGTTTTCTTGATTGCTTAAATTATGAAAAGTCCATTTTAATCACGACTTATGAAAGTTATATTCGTATAGTTCGTTTCATGCTGTGGATACATTATTCAATCAAAAAAAATTTTGTTTTTAATTAATTTAATTTATTTATAATCAGTTATATAAATTACGAAGGATTAATAATAATAACATCAACATCAAAACCCCAACCCATTTATCAATAATAAAATTAAATGCTAACTAGTTATCTAAAAGACATCCAATCAGACTTTAAAACTGCTGTCAGTTACCCTCTACAATTTCTCTTTCGTATCATATCTTAGTAGATGATAAACAGTCATGAAATAAGAACTAATCATACTATCCATTTATAATGGTTTAATACCCATCGTTCATTTGTCAGCTTAAGATTAGCACCACATTCCTATCAAACATGATAATGCCTCAGTTTGACCCCGTGTTATTGGAAATTTAATGTTGAAAGAGCTTTGGCCAGGTGAATTTGTAATGAACAACATTTGATGCATTATAGGTCTCGATCGGTAAATTTTAAAGGGCGATGATGCACCAAATTTTTTATAGTTTTCCTACATACAAATGTCAGATGATGATAATTCAAATAACTTATTATAAGTTGTTTGATTTGTTTCATTCGAAACATCATCGTTATCGATATTACTATTATTAATTAGTGAAGAGAGGACAAATTAGATCTAAACCAGAAAAATCTCTTAATTATTTCAAGCATTTTTTCCTCTTCTAACTAGAGCTTAAACAAAATTTTATGGTTCTGATAAATACTTACTCATGCTTTGTCTATTCTTTGTTCGATTCTCGTTTGTTACTCATTTTGGGAAAAAGATGAACACGAAGTATGAAAAATATTTAAAGGAATATAGTAAGTGTTGCACAAAATCCTTTTTTTTTTTGGAATGCGAGATCAAGACATTCATTAATAAGATAGATTTATTGATGGCCAAAGAGATTTATTCTTTTTTTGTATTGATATCTTGGTATATAGCAAGTGAAATGTTGATTGTATAGATAATTATATCATGATATAAGCAAACTATTGGTATATTTGTTTGTGTGCTCGTTATTAATAAATAATTGATCAAAGGTAAAAATGGCAACATGGCTGTTGAAGATCTCTCTCTCGCTCTCATATTGAAAACTGTTCTTGGACAATCTGGAAGCACTAAAAAAATCGATCTGTTTGATTATTGAAAATTTATTTACAGATGTTGAAGTGTATTATTGCACCAGCTCAAATATTTATAGCATCACATTCTCACCTTCCTTGCGTACATTAGGCTAAGTCTGACCAAAGTTCTCTCGATGATACAAATAATGCAATTAAATTTCCAGGGTGGGAACTGGGATTTGTTGGAATCGCATTGTTGTCAAGGAGAGTATTAAAGCCTTTCACTTTGTCTGAAGCCTCCCAACTCGTTCAATCCTCTTTCACCTGTGGATAAATTCTATAGTGCTTAATTACACGGCGCTTGAAGGGAAGTTTTTTATTAAATCTGACACCTTGCACCTGTAGAGTCAAATCCACCATCCTGTATGCTCACACGTAATATTAAGTGTATGGCCAAAATCAACATCACAAACAATTACAACCTTCATCAAGCGACTTCAACTCTGCCATCTCAATCATCAACTCGAAAATAATAATCAACCATCCCAACCAAATTCATCACCAACTCAACATCATCAGTAACAATACACATTGAACATATTGGATAATGGCTAGGATTGCTGCCCAATGCCAACCTGTCTATGATCAATATCAGTTTTTTTTTTTTTTTTTGAAAATGATTTTAAGGAACTTTGACTTGCAATTATATACAATCGAGAAGCATCCACACACACAAAATGAAGAGAACCAAGCAGAGGCTCGGCCAGTAAAATTTTCCACGACACTTTGGATGGAACCATTATCTTACATGGTCATAGTATTATTTATTACTTGGGCAATCAAGTATTTATTAAATTAAATGCATTGCATAATCATCATGATAAAACGGGGACAAAGATTCATATTCAAGGAAAGGAGTAAATAACAACAAGTAATATTTATTTATTTTTGGTTCAACTGAGAGAAAATACATGATGATTTTAATTTATATATATAAATGTTAAATATTAAAAAACACTTGAACCCAAAGCAAAGGAAATTAATATATTAATTTTTAAAACTAGTTTCACACTTGATAAATTTAAGAATGGTTATTTCCTTTGATATAAATAAAAAAATTGATTGTGCAAATAGCAATTAATCGAAATATTTCCATTTACCATTACTATTACTATTATTATGGCGTCATCTAAATACTACAACGACTGCGCCATGACCCGAAATTTTGGAAAAAATAAAACTTGTAGTATTGCATATTAATATCTATTTCATACAGATTCAGGTATGCGATTTATATTTTCAAATTACAAATGGCCTTTTCTGTAAGCATCCGTATATCTAAAGGATTTCTTGGTTTTGTAATAATTTTTCCTATATATTACTGTTATATATATAATAACATTATTACGACTTACACTAATATTTTTAGTGATCGGCAAAAAATTATAGTAAAATTTGTGTTACCTATACCCTTAAAAATTTAGCCGGATCCTTAATTTTCGCTGGCACTTTACTAACAAAACAATCATCATAATGTCGTCAGTTTTTTTTTTTTTCATATTAATCATGTTTAGCGTGGTAATAGGATACGCGATAATGTTAATGTAAATAAGAAACTTTTTAAAAAAAGTTTTTTACAATTACTAAAATATTAATAAACAAACATTTAAACTAATTTCAAAATACTATATACTTCTGATCAATGAGAAACGGTAATCAAACTACTAGTATCAACTCAAATCGTCGTATAACAAGATCCGCTACAGCAGCTCTTAACAATCAAATACTAGCTCATAGTACAACACGAACTACGAGTGTTAAAAAAAAGCAACAACAACCAAAACAACGACATCGACCAGCACGAGTTAATCGACCAGAAGGATATGCCAAGAACATTGAAAAAGACACAATTTTAATATGTATGAACTGTGAAGTTAAACTGAAGGATAAGCTGTTTGCTTTAGATTGTGGACATGTAAGTTGTGGAGAGTGTCAAAGCCAATTCAAAGCACACAAAAAATCATGTCCTGGTTGTGGGAAAAAAACAAAACAAGCTTTACAATTATTTGCATGAACAATAACATAGCAACAACAGTGTAATTATTTAATAGAAAAATTCATTTTTATTAGAGATTTAATTAATATTCTACACAGATTAAAAAAAAATCACGTAATTTTTTCTTTCCTTCATTCAAACCATTAAAAAAATTAAATATGTTATACTTTGTGCTTTCTTTGCATCATTAAATAATTATAAAAAAAAAAACGAAATTTTTATTATTATTAATTTTGTCCCAATATATTTTTAAATAATCCATCAAATATAGCCGATTCTTTTGTCGGTTTATGATCAGTTCTTTGTGATGGATTAGATGTAAAATCTAAATAGTTATACGCTATATCAAAAAATAATGGTTTTGCTGGAATGTGTGAAAATTCTGGAGGGAATTTGATTAATCGTGCATTTGCCCTTGAAAAATTAATAGGATATTGATTAAGATTTTCCAACAAATAAGACTTTAAAAAAAAAATATAATTAATAATAAATTCATAAAATATAAAATATAATATTTATAATGTATAGTTTATACAATTACCTCTTTATCCTTATTTTCAAATTTAGACTCTTCAGTTTTATTATTTTTATTTTTATCTTCAATTTTCATTTCACTAAACCTTTTACTTAATTCCGAATTCTCTGAAACAGTACCATCTTGAAGACATCGTTATGCATGTGCTTTACATTTATGAGTCCTTAATGTAGATTTTCTAATTCACCAACATTTTTGTGTAACAACTAGAATTTCATCATTATTTTTGATAATGATGTTTTTGCTTGTGAATTATATTCTCTAGCACGCTCATATAATAAAATAGCTTCTAATTCTTTGTTTAGAACAGTATATGCTGATGCTACATATAGAACTCTATAAAGAAAATATTATTGTTGTTATAATAATAATTATCAGCTTTGAATTAATCACCAATCCATGCTCTGTTTGAAGTTTTCCATATTTCTGAACAGAATTTGTAATCGACTTGAAAGTAATGTACAGTATTATATTAGACTAGAAATTTTTTTTAAAAATTGAAAGCATAAATAAATAGAAATCTTACTGCAGGCTGATTTGCATGTTCCCTTTCTAAAATATATAGAAAAAATTAAAAATTAATGATTGAAAAGAATAATAGTAGTCACATATAACAATAATATAAATAATATAATAATAATAACTAATTTGATTGTCACATAACAATTCTTTCTGATCGTACACCACCAGATCTAAAAAAGTGATTAATAATTAGTGGTATATCATAATTAATAATAAATAAAAATATGGACGCGTAACAGTTCCTTTAGCCATTAGCCTTTGGATGTAAATAACTTTTAATTTAATCATTACATTCCTATATATATATATATATATATAATATTAATTAATAATAATGTAAAGATAGATAAGAAGTAAATATTGAACAAAACGTATTACCATTACTGTTTTCAATATACTTGGGTTCATAAAACTGTTTTTTTGTGAATCTCTCTAAAACTAATTAACCAATACTAGACAAGACCTACAAAACTTGGAAAGCAAGTTTTGTAAAATATACTTGATGAATGTTTTATCTAGTTGTGTGATAGGCGGGTTGATTATGATACTTATTTGAAAATGCCATACAAGTATTTAAAGTTCAAAAAAACGCAATAATTCTTTACCTATTACCATATATTTTTGTATCTCACTAAATACTTGATCGAATTGAGTAATCTTAGATTCAAAGAAAGCCTTAATCGTATTGTACATCGTATTCGAAACTTATTTATAGTAAATATGAAACAATGTGACTTAATATTGATTTCAAATCACAATTCGTTAATGCATTTTAATAATAATATTAAATATCTCTTTACAATTCTCTTCTCCTTTTTTGACAATTTGCACATTATTGTTGCTTGCTCGTAGGGGTTGGCACTAAGGTTGCTTGCCGAAACCTCTTGGTGACTGTCAAAACTCTGCCGAAACTCTAATGAACAATTAATATATATCTTGTCAAAACCCTGACGATTGACCAAACCTCCAAATGCGAAACTCTAATAAACAATTAATGTATAACCTGACGAAACTCTGTCAACTGATTTCTGGAGGAATTTCGCCCACAACCTTAAAATTAAGAGTTAACTGATTAACCAGTTAGAAATGGTTAATATTAACTTTATAATTTAGTCACGTGAATTTTTAACTGATAAATTCAAAGCATAGTGGAAATTTGAAATGTTACACTAATTTTTTATATTGTGCAATGTAGCTTTACAATACACAGCAAACATTCTGGCAATAAAAAGTAAGTGATAAACTGGATTTGAATTGGATCTGAACTTGATCTCCAATTTAGAGAGGTAACAACTATATACTGGCGAAGTTTCAGAAGCAATGAGTTCTGTATAACGTTTTGTGTAATAACAAACTTCCACTATGCTTAAATTCAATCGTTTGTTATTTATAGTCAAGAATATTTGAACCAATTAAGAATCCGTTATTATTATGGTTGGGTAATCATTCAATTATGATGATCAGTGCAGGCCTCTACATCACATCATAACTGGTTTTAACAACATATTTATATTATTTATTATTTTTAGATACATTCTAAAAGGCATATAGAAGACAAAATGTATATAGATACTTTTTAAATAATATTTTTTGTTTTAATTTATGTTGTATATAATAAAAAATTCTTATGCAATATAAGAATTAAAAACATATAAATATTAAAAAAACATTGCTTATTAATGACAAGATGAATTTAATGAAATAAAGGAATATGAAAATAAAAAAGAATATAATCTATATTATCAAAAATCTAAAAGAGAATTTACTATTTAAAATAAAATGAAAATCAACAGTTGATATTTTTCAAAACAATGAAATGATATTGACTGTAGTAATAATAATGATGAAAATACTCACATGCTATTTTAGTATTTATTATTTAAAGTAATAATGATGAAAATATTTATTGGCTATTTATTATTTAAAATAAAATGAAAATCGACAGTTAATATTTTTCAAAAATAATTATATTGACTGTAGTAATAATGATGATGATGAAAATACTTATGGACTATTTGTTATTTAAAATAAAATGAAAATCAACAATTAATATTTTTCAAAACAATGATATTGATTGTAGTAATAATGATGATGAAAACACTTACGGACTATTTATTATTTAAAATAAAACAAAAATCAATAGTTAATATTTTTCAAAAACAATGATATTGACTGCAATAATAATATTGATGATGAAAATACTTACGTGCTATTTATTATTTAAAATAAAATGAAAATCAACAGTTAATATCTTCAAAAACAATGATCTTGACTGTAGTAATAGTAATGATGAAAATACTTACGGACTATTTATTATTTAAAATAAAACAAAAATCAATAGTTAATATTTTTCAAAAAAATGATATTGACTGCAATAATAATAATGATGAAAATACTTACGGGCTATTTATTATTAAATAAAATGAAAATTAACAGTTAATTAATATTTTCAAAAACAATGATATTGGCTGCAATAATGATGATGATGATGAAAATACTTACAGACTATTTGTTATTTAAAATAAAATGAAAATCAACAGTTAATATTTTTCAAAACAATGATATTGATTGTAGTAATAATAATGATGAAAACACTTACAGACTATTTATTATTTAAATGAAATAAAAATTAACAGTTAATTAATATTTTCAAAAACAATGATATTGACTGTAGTAATAATAATGATGATGAAAATACTTACACACTATTTATTATTTAAAATGAAATGAAAATCAACAGTTAATATTTTTCAAAAACAATGATATTGACTGCAATAATAATATTGATGATGAAAATACTTACAGGCTATTTATTATTTAAAATAAATGAAAATCAA